TTTTTAATTTAGGGACGTAAACACCTGGCAGAGAGCGCGCATAAGCGATCACGGGCGTTTGCATGGAGTTGTCACTTCTTGTTCAGAGGTGTTCTGTGTACTATGTATAGTGATCGCCGCATTTATCAAATTTAAATGCAAAAAGTGACCATAAAGTTGCGTAGAAGTGTTGATTGCGGAACATCTTGATTTTCGGTCACAATATATATCAATGAGTCCAATGAATATGAGAGCGTGCCTACGTTGTTCAAGAGGCAGAAGCATTCAGAATTATTTAAGTAGTATTTTATTTTAAAAGAAATGCGGGTATCATTGTTCAAAGTCCATGCTACTGACAAAATTGAAAAAAAAGTTTTCTTAATAATTAAAATTAATTTTTGAAATATTTTTTTTCTTGGATAAGTTATTGTTTTAAAATTTGTATGTATGTATTGCTTTCTGCTGTGTATGCAGTTTCAAAAGATATAAGAGAGAGCTGAAAATTGTTCTCTAAAAAGTGCCGTTTTCGAGCAAACCTTCTTTTAAAATTGTGCACGGTGTAAGTAATAACGAACGTTACACTTTATTTTCAAAGTTTTAACAGAGTGTACCATGGGAACGTCTACTTTGAATTTATTATTATTTATTAAAAAATAATTATTGTAAATTTAATAACCTTTAACGCCCTGTAGATCTGTTATTATTCAGTTTTCGAAAGTGTTATAGGAACTTGACCTAAATGCTTGCTATAAAAGTGAAAAAGTCTTAAACGTTCTTCATTCATAGCTTCATTAATTCAAACATATTTCTGGGTAATGCGCCGTTTAGCAAATAAGTGCGTGTACCGTGTAGTGTTGTGAGGGTATTTATTACAATATATCAGCAATTTTAGATTTTTTCTAGACAGAGAATGGTTTGCTACTTTGGTGGGAAATTAGCAACATGGTCTAACAGTATCGATTATTATCGCTGCAGAGCGTTCTTATTTAAAACTATATATTTTTCTTAATGAAGTCAGTTGAAAATCGACCCACTTGCATACCCATTTTGATATAAACCTTTCAAACCAGTCTTTGAGGGGGATACCCTAGATAGTTATTACTTCACACGTGGAACACCCTGTATATGCGAGGATGTTTCATTTTTATGCCACGTTGCCAATTCTACGTTCAGCAAAAAACGCCGCCAATGCTTTTGAGGTTATTCAACTACGCCTACTGTCACTTTCAACATCTGACAAGTTGAAAGAAGTTCTACTTTTGTTGCATAACTATTAAGATAACTTCTCAGTAAATTTGTGTTAAAATTACTCACTGAAAATGCAGGTGCCACACCGCTTAATTCAACTTATGGCAAAACCAGGTAGGAACGACATTACATTTTGAATATTGATTGAAGTGATAAATCAGCTATCAATGACACATTGTGCTTATTCTATGGAAACTTTACGTAACAAAAGTTTCTATTACTTGTTTATTAAAACCAACTTGTGTTTAACAGTTGGCCGAAGATATGCCTCGCATGGAGCGGTAGCGAAAAGCACCTATAATGACCTCCCATCTCCCTCGGGCAGTTGGCAAACTAACTATGATGCTCAGCAACGCAAATACAATGCACAACTTGCCTTAGGAGTAGGTGTTTTCGCTGGGACTCTTCTCTTCGGAAAAGCCGCTGGCTTCTTTGAATTCTATAATGACTACCCTGAAAGGCCAGCAGTTATCGACAACTACAAAGACTAGATACCCCCCTTTTATTTGTCATGCTAGTAATCAGTTTAGTACAGTGTAAATTAAGTTTTTTGTTATTTCCGCTGCGGGTTATTTCAATAAAATAATTCTTCAGTGGGATTTTAACTTCTTTAAATAAGGCATTTCCTCGAAAATGATAGCGTTGCCATAGCCAACCCAATTTCACCGCATACTTTCATTTTAGATTTGTTCAATTTCTGAATGACGTTTATGTTTATAATTTGCATTGCAAGAAACAGGATTATATTCCGTGCCTGATCTTAAGGTTGTTAGCTTTTGTCAGGAAAGGCAGTTCACTAATGAAAATGAAGATATTTGCGATTGACATAATTAAGTCTTAAAACTGGCTTTATTGAGTAGTCAAAGAAACGAGTAAACGTGAATTTTTGAAAAGTAAATGAAAATGTTTCTACCTTGTATGAAATCGCTTTCTTTCATATATAAAGCTCTTTAAATTCTGAATAAAGCCGGTCTCATTATAGCATGAATTCTTCCAAACTTCTTCTGAACTTCCGAATGTTGTAATTGTCAATTTTGAATAATTTGTTGAAAAATCAGTATATTGATTCGTAGGTTGAGTTTCATTCCGCCAAATATTTGATCTCACTTGCTTGAAACCTTAGCATAAATCAAATTCATTCTAAGCAAGACGTCGCTAAGATCAAATAAATAATTGCGAAAAAAGCAATCACTTTTATTCAAATTTGAAAAGGAGGCATAACAAAACCGAAATTTTCCAGGCAATATTGGTAGTTTTTCGTATTATGCTGCTTAATTCAGCTGATCGAGTTTCAAAATTTATAGATCTCGCGCTTTAATGTTTTTCTTCAACTACGAATGCTTGAGCTTTTTTATGGCATTAGCGATTACTTCAACTTGGGCTGAGTAGAACATTGAGCTTTGTTTTAAAACAGCAATAAAAAATAGAAAATGGTTAAAAAATCAATAACCTTCATCACTTAATCTACTTCGATCATAGAAAAGTTTGTTAGATTGCATGGGATCTATACGTTTCTCAGAAAAACCTTTTGGAAAATAAGTTAATGTTTATTACCAAAACAATTGCATCCAGGAAAAAGTATAACACAATGGTAATCGGATTTATTTGAAGTAATAAAAATATATAGAATACTCTATAAACTTTGATTTGGTATCTTTAACACGACATTACATTCATTATATACAAAACTACATTTATATAAACACATAAGTTGCAACAATTACACGTTATTAATTAAATCAATACTAATCGTCTTAATCTAACTAGGTTCTACAAAAGCAATACATAATATACCTAACATTTATTACATTTGTGTATTTCTTTTCTTTCTGCCAAATAATTCGCGAATGCGATGCGACATTTTCTGGTCCTGTCCACTAACGGAATTTGGTCTTGGTGGCGAGCTTTGGGACAAATTCGGCTTCGAACCACTTCCATAGCTATCTGCTAAAATACAATATATTTAAAACTTGCTTTAAGAAAGGATCAATCAGCATCCAAAGCCCAAATAATAGAAGTATCTTGGTGAAAAGCTAAAAAAACTAGTCTACTCCACACCTGAAACCTCATAAGCGGTATATGTAGAAAGTACAAGAAAAACACTTTAACTAAAATTCTTCCACAACCAAGGTTGTATAGCAGTCAGATTTGCAGGGCTCGAATATCTGATAAACCTTTTCCAGAAAAAAAATTGTTAAAAGTATGTGCAAGTTAGTTGGAAATTGAGTTTAAACCATGCATGAGAGAACTAACCATATGAATTTCCAATGTTTTCGTAAGTATATCGCTTTGCGGCATAATTTATGGGTGGTTCTGTCCTCGGCAAAGGAGGTGGAGGGCTCTCTGCCAAATTAATTTTTAAATTTATTATTAGATTTTAGTGAAATTAGTTACAAAGAGACGAATTCAGTCACAATGTGGTTCAAGTTTATTTATTATATTGGAAGCAATATTTATATATAATATTTTTTATCTAACTTGAACCACAGTATATAAATTCGATAACATCCGTAACAGGAGTTGTGTTAATAATTGCCCAGTTAATTGTTGTTTGTTGAAACCGGCGATATGTTATTCGATTTATTGTTTTCACTTTTCTTCTTCATATGTCTGCATTATTAAAACTCAGGAAAATTTATTGTTTCAGGTAAAATACTGAAAATAAGTATAAGTCGTTTCACTTCGTCACGTTAGAATATCCTTCGTGGGAATGATAGTTATGAGAGAATTAATACGAAATGTATTACCTAAGGTGTGTCTGCTGGACTGGGACGATCCCACGCTACTGTTATTAGAATGAGTTTCGTGCCTTAAAGTTACACTGTCGGCAACATCAGGGCTAGATGTCCTGCTTGACTGAGAACTAATTTCATCATTTGATTCCTATATAGTCAATTAGTTAGTCAACAAAATGTAGATGAACAATCTAATTAGCTTCTTACCTTTGGAACATCAAAATGTAATAGCTGTTGGCTAGGTGGCAATCTAGCTCTAAATTTTATCTTGTTAACCCAGTCCATCATGTCGACTTCTGATCCGCAAGAGAACAAAAACTCAGAACCATCCACTATTATCAACCTAAAGGTGTATTTCCTCTTGTGGTAGTCTTCTGCTACTGAGCATGATGCGTTGTGAATGGTAAGTGGGGCACTGCTAGCCTTACTAGCAATAAAATCATCTTTGTTCTTAAAGAAGCATAGAAGTTGACCACATAAAACTGTATACGAATTCTTCCAGGCTCTGTTTGAAGCGCGCTTCGATCCTGGTAGCAGGTTCTGTTTCCGCTCTAAGAAAGCCTCGGCTTCAACTGGCGGCAAAACCACATCTAGGACAAATAATTTCTTTAAATTTCAGTGCTTTGAGAGTTGAACTGCCAATTTCTTACAAGGATTTTTCGACTTGAAAGAGCCCTTTCTTCTGGTTGTAAAAGATGGTGTTCGTTTCACTGGCTTCGGTCCCGGTCCTACTTTCATGCTCTCTGCTCTCTTCACCGCGTGGTCGGATCCACGTCGAATCCTTTCTCTATCAAACATTTGCGCTACAGAGTTTGTTTTTCTTAAGCCAATAACAGGAGTTCCTAAAAACATTTTTTTTTATTAGATACAAGGTGTTTTGTAATAGCAAGTTCATATACAAGAGCGTGAATCTAAAACATCAAATTATTTACCTGTGGTTGGTAGGGGTGAAGCTACTCTCATAGCTGGAACCGGATAAGACGTATTAGTAGAGGTTGGACTTGATGGTGAAGTTCCATATAGGAGTGGACTGGCATTTGAAGGCGGACCATAGTGAGACGATTGTCCATTTAGCTGTTCTTCTTAAAGAAATAACATTATCAATCATAAGACCTGTTTTTCAATGCATTGCTTGGTTATACGGTAAATGTATCCCATCATACAAATTGCTGGTTTAAAATACAAAACAAACAGGATTAAGCAGTAATCATTACCTGGAATTTCAGAGTAACGAGGTTCTCGTTCACCAGATTCCTGTCGTCTTAATTTACTGATCCGGTCCATTTCCTCTCTTTTACGTTTCTCCAGTTTCTCTTGCTCCAAGCGTTCTTTCTCTGCCTTCCTTGCCAGCTCCTCCTGCTTCAGTTGCTGGGCAAACGATTCTTCAAGTATGGTCATTCGTTTCAATGCTTCGAATTTGTCTTGCTGCGCTTTAACAGTTTCCTCAAAATCGCGGTGTTTCCTAATTAATTCTTCCACCTGGAATTATCAGGATGTTTTATGAAAAAATAACGAACCCACAAACAGTATTCAGTAAGCTCTTGATTTGCAACAATTTTTAACTAATATTGATCCCACCTGTTGAATACTGTCGCCAACTTTACCATCCCTCAGCATATCCTCCCTAAGAACTAACCAACTCTCTAAAATGTTAGCCTCTCTTTTAAAGAGTTGAACATCCAAGTTCGTATCGTAGATGATGCTTCTTTGATGCCAAATGTTAATCAACAGCTCCATGCGCTGTTGAAGGATATTGATTTTGTCCTCGATATCACGTGAAAGAGGATGACTATTAGTCATGAATGCATTTCCGTTGTTGTAGAATTGCGAAAATACCGGCAGCCGACTGTCTATTTCAGATTTGTGGTCTTTGTGCCTGAGAATGAGGTGTTCGGCTTCAGAACAGTCCTGGGGTAGATCTGGCGCGGTGATTTTTGCCAGCATTTCATTGATCCATGCTCTGAAAATCCTAATTAGTAACAAGTTTTGTGATTTAAATGGGTTTCACTTACAGAAGTTCTTGATATTCATCAAAGTAGGACTGCAGCTGTTCACTTTGTTGGAGGTATTCCCTTTCCCGTTCGACTTTAAGCTGTAAGTCCTCCCAAGCCGAAAGCGTGTCTTCTTTCTTATCATCGATATGTTCCTTGGTGTCCGGAAATTCGGTCACTAATCTATCACCTTCGTGGATAATGAAGTCAACTCGATCTCTGATGGCTTTTATTTCAGTTTCCAGTGATTGATGTTTGCGAATCAATTGCTCGATAGCTTCAGAATCTTGTACATACGCTCCTGAAAATTCAAAGATTATAATATTTTCACGTAACATAACAGTTGCTACTTGCCATAAATAAGGTCTGATTCCTTCTCTTGAATCCATGATATTATTTCCTCAGCAGTTCTATCGTACAAGTGAACTTGCTTAGCACCGTTCAAAGCTTCTTTCCTGGCATTGGCCAATTCAATCAAATCATCCCAAGAGCTTTTGAGCTCGCTCACTCTTTGTTGAACCTCTGAGCTGTAACTGCTCTTCGCGTTAATGAGCGCACCTCCATTCTCAACGCATTGAAGAACGCGAGGTTCACTATTCAATAAACTAGCATGGAAAGTGTCGAAGGCTTGAATCAAAAGCTCCACATGTTCCAGATCGTTGCCATATTCTTCGGAATCCGCTTTGTTCGTTTGTTCACGCATCCAGTCCTGGACGTCGTTGCATTCATGGATAAAGCCAAAGTATTGAAGGGCTTCAGTTAGGCGCACTTCTCTCTCAGACACCAGTTTTCTTAGGTCGTTAAATTCATACTCAACTTGCATCTAAAAATGTATGTTATTTGGTAAGTTAAATAGCAAACAGTGTATGATTTTTCAATAGTGAAATAACATGAGTATACCTTTTTTTGTGCGATATTCTCAGAATCAAAATGTTCGCGTTCTATCAGACTATCAGCTGCCTTTTTAATGTTCTCAATATTGGGCTGAAAAGATTGAACTTCTAAAGTCAAGGCTTCTAATTTCCTTTGCAATGACTGCGCGGTATCCTCATCTTTACCAACTTCTTTGGTAGACAAAAAGGGTCGTTTCTCTTTTATCCAAGTGAGTGCTTCAGTGACTTCTTGGTAGAACTAAACGCAGAAAATAACACATAAACAGATTAGAGCACAAACAAAAAATAGGAATAACTAGGATAAAACTGTTTGGAAATGCAATTTTTTATTCGTTTATTTAGGTTCTTCAAATAATGTAAATTTTATAAGAGTGATGGGGGGGACCAAGAGCCTTCAAGTGGGGCAAAGAAAACCCGTTATTGTGTGAACAAGAAAGTGAAGGTGCAGATATTTTACCTCATTCTAAATAGTATATTCGCTTTTTTCCTCTTGAGTCATTTTGTAAAAAATGTGCAAATTATTTATAAATGTATAATGAACGGCCGTTTTCGTTAAACAAATCAATACATTGAAACTTACCATCTGAGCTTCAAGCGCATCTTGCAATCGAAGTTTTCTAATACTCGCCAAGTCTTTGACTTGGGTCAGTTGCGACTTAACCTGGTCCGCTTTTTCCTTGATGAGATGCGCCAATGGATGATTAGATCTAGTCAAGTTAGATGCCCTCGAAGCCAGACTGGCTACTATCGGTTCTCGTGCGGCTAATTCTGCCTCTGTTACTTGATGTTTCTTATGCAGGCTTTGAACTGCAGCTAAATTGTGTCCTAAATCCGTCGACGAACAGATTACTTCTCTTTCCGCCAGCCATTGAAGTTCATCCTCAACATCTCGGGTGAATTGATGTAGCGTACTTGACGATTCCAAATTGTCTCTGCGCACCTGAAGAGGTTCCTTGAGTTGATGGAATCTTGTGATCACTGAATCCGCGCTTTCCTTGATTTCATAGGCCATGAAATGATCGCTTTTAACAAATTGCTCGGCTGCATCGTCGATTTGCTCGCAATTTTCAGTGTGTTGCTGAATGTCGTTTTCAAGAGCGGTGTGGCGTTTGAGTAACGTATTTACTGTGGCCAAATCCTTTCCTGTTTCAATGGAATGCACTTGATCTTCAACGTCATTCAACCAAGCCTCGAATTCTTCCAAGGATCTGTTGAATAATAGGGCTTGATAAGCCTCGTTAAGCCTATCGCGTTTCAGGTTGGACAGTTCCAGCAAATGTTTCCAATCATTTTCTAGCTCGTCCAATCGAATACCGATTTCTTTAGCTGCATAATGGTCGGCAGCTATAAGTTCTTTTCCTTCTTCTACAACGTTTTGAATGCGTTCGCCACTTGCAATCACCTCCGCCTCAAATGTGGCGTGCTTTTGAATTTTATTTTGGAGATTGCTGGGTTCTCGGTAATTTTCATCTGCAGCTATGGATAGTTTCTGACTCAACCATATTTCCACATCATTCACATTATGCAGGAATTGCTGCAACGCTTTGGACTTATTCAGAATCACTTTGCGCTCAGCTGCTTTGGACAGCAAACGATCTTTGCGGACAATGATTGCATTCAGTTTACTTGATACTTCAGAGCTGGGTTTTACCGACGTAATTTTATTCGCCACTATTGATATTTCATCGACTCTTACCAACTGTTTTTCCAGCATGGCTTCGAAGTCCGCGTGCTTTCTTAAAAGAGTTTCTACACTTCTGGGAGTATCGCCTACGTCGTCGTTATTAAGGAAGGCTTCTTTAGTGGCCAGCCAATTGTTTAGTTGATTTGCTTGCTCTTTGAAATCTTGGATGTTATATTCATGTTCCAGTTCCAGCTGAGTTTGCTCCCAGGCACTAGTAATACTTGCCTGCAGTTGCTGCAGTTTTGCAACGTTATCAATTATTTCAGGTGAATCCTTTTGCAGACAACTTTGTCCTTTTTGAATTAAGCTTTGGAAGGCATCGTACCGCCCTTTAATTTCTGCACGGAGTTCATTGTGAAGTTCTAAATGAGCTTCGGCGTCAGATATACTGTTTGACTTATCATAACCTTCCATTCTTTTGATAGTTTCACTAACCCACAGATCGAGAGCTTTCACGTCCGCTTTGAATCTCTCTTGAAAGTACGCATGTTCCAGCATTTCTCTTCTTGCGTGTTTTGCTGCATTTAATTGGATCAGTAACGACTGGACTATTGAAAGTTTCTCTTGTAAATGACTTGCGTTCTGAAGATACTTTTGACTAAGCGCCACAGCAACGACTTGATGGTCGTCATGCACTTTTGATTCTACTGCTGAAATTTCTGTTTCCAATGCATCCTGCTTTCTTTGGAGCAGTTCGACTGCGGCCAGGTCTTTGCCAACGTCGTCGACTTCCATTGACTTGCATTTTTCTTGAATGCGTTCTATGGTATCAGAAACATCTCGGTCAAACAAGTGGATTTCCAAGGCTGCTGCCAACTTCATTCTGTAGTTGTTTAAGGCGCCTTGCAACGAATGCCACTTTGCAATGAAAGCATCGCGTCTTTCGATTACTCCGGTTTGGCCTTGCCTTGCTAGTTTATCGGCCAAAGTGCTGATGCTTTTAATTTTAGCGTCATCGATTTTCATGTCAGTATCAACATCGTCTAACTTGCGCTGAAGAAGTTGGCAATGTTCGTAGTCCCTTCCAGTGTCGCCTGCTTGAATCATAACTTCCTTAACTCGGATCCACGCTTCGAGTTTTTCAAGCAAGTTGGTGAAGGCAAGGATATCTTGGGCTTCTTCAAGCCCTCGGTTTCTAAGATTAACTTCTTGGATGAACATAGCCCATACTCGTTGCAGGTCATTGAGTTGTTTTTGAATTTCGGGACTGGCCTTGTGTCGTTTATTAATCAGCTTCTGCCCGTTACCTTGGACTTCTTCGATCCTGCTAATGTTGGCAGTTACCTCAGCGTGGAAAGCTTGGTGTTTCTGGAGTATTTTGATTTTTTCCTCCAAATTGATGTTATCATTCATTGTTCCTTCAATGTCCATTTTTTTCTTCTTCTCTGCAATCCAGGTCATTGCTTCGCTTACGTCTCTAACAAACTCAGCATACAACAGCGCATCTTGAAGTAGCTGATTTCTTTGCCCACATAACTGGTGGATTCGATTGCGTTTCGCTTGAATATCTGCTAGTTTTTGGGCGATTTGCTGACTATCATAGTGGTTCTGTTTAAGTAGCTTATTCCCAGATTGAATTAAAGCTTCCAGGTTTTTATCTTGATGGACGACTAGTTTTTCAAACGCATCATGTTTTTTCAGTTGGTTGGCAACTTCTTCAACAGTTTCGCCAAAATCTAAGTGACTTAGCGCAGCTTCTTGAACATTAGTGGCATCTTCCAACAACTTGGCTTCTCTCAGGAAAATATGCAAGTCACATAGCTGATCCAGATGGATCTTTTTGAGCTGCCAAGCTGTATGGAGTTTCTCACGTTCTTGGATCAACACCTTGTATCTTTCAACGCCTTCAGCTGCAGCATAATGGCCTGTTTGTTCCATTGCAGCCAAATTATCGCTTGCGCTTTGGAAATCGGTTTCTCTGGCCTCAATTTCGCCCTTCAAAGCTTCGTGTTCGCTTTTAAGCACTTGAGCTCGAGCAGCGCTCCTCACATGCTCTTCTGCAGTCAAAGATAATCTGAGGTTCGTCGCCCAATTCGTCAAATCTCTCACTTGTGCCAAGAATTTCTGCAAATCGACACTGGCTTGAAGTTGATCCTTACGCAAATCTGCCCGTTCTTTTAGGCCATTCCAAGCCTCAACCACCAAAGCTTGTTGCTGTTGAATTTTGTTTTTATTTGTCGGGTAAATTTTTTGAAGCTTTGAGGCATCTTCAACAAGGAACTGCAGTTGTGCTTCTAAAACAACCAATTCGTTTTCGAAGGTCTCATGCTTTCGGAATAGTGCAATGGCTGAGTTTAGGTCGCGACCCAAATCGTTTCCTAAAGCAGCAATTTTAGCTTGAATACGTTGCAATGCCTCAGCTACATCTCGGTGGAAACGGTGAATTTCACCAGCCGCATTCAGGCGTTCTTCTCGATTTTTAATTTGGACGTGCAGGTTATCCCATGATTGTCTATAATAGAAAAACATCGATATTAGTGAAAATTGCCAAAATTTATCTGAGCATTAGAGCACTATTTGTTTGTAATTTGGAAAGATGTTTATGCTTTCTTTCTAGAATCACTAGGCGCTTTAAAGGCTAGTCAATGAGCATGCATTTTTTTGGTATTTTTGAAGGAGCGGTTTGTTGTCATGCTATTTGGATAGTCTGCATTGTTATGTTCGTTTACTATCGACTACTTTTAGTCGATTATGCCTGTTTGTGCAATCTTTCTGTGTGTGTGCGTGTATAAGTAACTTAAGCATAAAACTTAATAAAATAATAAAATAAAATAGCAAAACATGTATTGAAATAGAAATGTAGTTCGAAAGCTTTATACATAACTTTAAAACAAACGGGACCACTGTTTATTTGCTGTTTTAATCTGTTCATGAACATATCCCCGCAAATAAATTGGGACGCATTCGAAATAAAATCACTTTTTTCAATTCACTTTTGCCCTTTTTTCCTCTATCAACAGTTTTACTCATATATCGTATATCAACATTTTATATATGAAGCGAATTTTTAAGTAACTGAGCTTTATTGTTCACTCAGAAATTTATAATTTTCAACTTAAGCATTGTGCAAAGAGCGTTTATATTAGCCGGACATTAGTAATTTTTAAATCAGATTAAATATTTTGCAACTTATGTTTAATTTTCCTTGTATACATGATTTTGTTCTCTATTGAAAACAAATCAATTATTTGTTTATAATCCGTTTTCCGGGTTGAAAGCGTAAAAAATATCGGCTTTCGAGGTGATTTCGAATAAATTGTTTAACTACAATGAAACGGAAAAGTAGGTGAATTCAGAATCACTTCAAGTTCAAATTTGGTCAACGTTCTTATTTCAGCATGTGAACTAGTCGAAAAACAACACGTTTTTTTAACAACAAGCAAAACGGAAATGCGATTTAGTTATGTTTGTGTTAGAATGTTCTGGTTAAAACAATTAATGTACAGTTACCTGATCCGTTGATGTTTTTCCTGCACCTCACGGCACGCCTCTGAAGGGATACTATCATCTCTAAAACAAGTTAGTTCCAACACCTTTGTGAGAGTGATCATACAAAGACAAAATAAGTACAGTTTACATATAGTTGTGAAACGGATAAATGAATAAATTATGAAGTTAAATAACAAAGTTTGTTTCATCGTATTGGCTGATCTTGTGAGTCTTTACCCATTAGCTTCACAAAAAGAATGGTGCAAATGTGTATAATCAAGAGATTGTTGAAAAAGGTTACCATGCACAGGTGTCAATGACTGGTAGGAGTAATTTTGAGTTAGTTTAGGTTCACTTGCGAAATGAAAATAATTCCTTGACTTACTCGAGTTGATTTTGCTTATTTTGAATATCTGTGCTGTATGGGCTTTCGTTAGCCAAAAGTTTCTGAGCCAGAGTTTCACATTGTTTGTATCGTTCCGATCCAGCTTCAATGCGGTGCTTGAGATCATCAAATTTACTCTTCAAAAGCTAAAAGTCAATCATTTTAGCATACGAAAAAAACTACAGTTTAACATAATACCAATAAATGTTCGTAATCTTGACCATAATCGGCCGACGACGCTTGCAAAGCATTCTCCGCAATCCAGGATTCCAATTCCCCAGATTCAACGAAATACTCATGTCCAAATAACGATTCCATTAGCCTGTGTTGTCTAATGGCTGCTTTCCTTTGGAGCAATCTAACGAGATGTTCCAAACTGGATTGTCTTTCCGCAATCAGTTTCGATTCTGGATGACCAGACTTTATCATGGCTTGAGCCCCATGTCCCATTTCCGATATAATATTGTTATAAGTATCCAGTTCAAGTTCTAAAGCCTAAAACAATTTTGAATTTTAAATAGTGTTTTCGCTGTTCATAGACGGATATATCTTTATACTGTTTAATGAGTAAACAATTATAGCATGCAATTATTGAAAAGAAATGAGTTGATTACAGATATTTAGTGTATGTACGCACTATAATTCTTGATCATCACTATTTGTAGGTATTTAAAAAGTAATTTACTGTAATTATCTAATCTGATTTCTCAAGTAGTTTTTAAACAGCCGAAAACTGTTTTCGTATTTTGCGACAATGAGTAATAACAATTCAACTTGCTTTGTGTTTCGTTAAAAGTTTAGTGGCTGAATCTCGGTCTCTTCCATAATCATTGCTGTCCAGAATGTTTGCCTTTTCAGTAAGCCACGATTCAATTTCGCTCGCTTCAAAGAAGTACTGTTGAGCTTTAAGGGACAGGTCCAGTTGTGTGGCTCTTTTGGCAGCGCTTTCTTCCAACCCTACCCAAGCGGACCGCAGTTCGTCACACAATCTCTTGATCTAGTAAAAAAATTAGTTTTACTTAAATCAATCAGTTTCAGCATTTAAAAGAATTTCAACTTTCGGTTATCTAACTTACACTGCCACTCTCAGGATGTCTCTGATTAACCAAACTTTGACCAAGCTCGAAAACTTTATCAACCACAGGTTGATGTCCAACAATTTCGGCCTGTAATTTTTTGTTCTTTTTATGGAAACTTTCAGCCTGATGTAGACTGTTGGGTACGTCTTCGGAAGTGGCTTGAGGCATGTGCTCCTTGATCCACTGCATTTCTGAGTCGATTTCGAAACTAAACTTGTAAAATCTCAGAGCTTCTTCTAATGCTGCGCGCCGAGCTTTGGTGGGTCCGTCCAATTCCTTCAGCCGTTGGTAACTGGCCAAGGAATTGTTGCGTATAGCTTCTGAGTCAAAGTGGCCGTCATCGCTCATGTCATGGCTCTGAGTAACTGACAGAAAATACAAGTGAAATTGATTGATTGGCAGCAATGGCGAAATAAAACTTACCCAAGTCGTTCACCCTTATCTCAACTTGATGCAGTTCTAATTCTAGAGCTTCTTGTTTCTTCAGCAAGTCTCTACATGATCGAAGATCTACACCAACGTTTGAGCTTCTCAGGGTATCTCTAATTTCAGAAATTCTGATTTTAACATCGTCTACAGCAGCATTATGGCTATCTTGGGCCTCTGCCTGTTTCAGGCGTTTTCCTTTCTCTAATGATACTCCAACAAGGTTTTTCCAGGAGTCATTTAACTGTTGAACAATAGCGCCCACATCGTCTTTATGTTGACTGTCTTGAGCAATCAAAGCTGAGCCCAATTTCGAAACGCTGCGTAACTGGCCTTCATTAGCTCCAAGTTCTCTTTCAAAAGCTTTGTGCTTTTGGAGCTTGCGTTCAAGATTGTTCAGATCGCGGTAACTTTCATCGGAGGCAGTTTTTTGCTTTTCTGCGAGCCACACTTTGAGATCCTCGACCTCAGCACAGAATTCTTGGTAATTTTTAGCTGCATCTAATGCGTTAGCTCTTTGTTGGCAGGCTGCTTTTACTGCCTGTCTTCTTTCAAGTACTTGATCACGACGATTTGCAATGCTGCAAAATTGCGATTTCAAATTAAATCGAAATGGTTTTCGGCAAAACGTAGATTTTAATACAAGCTGCTCGCAATGGCTGCAGATATGGAGAAAATTAAGAACAAAATAATAAGTGCTGTAGTTTTTGCACTTTACATTAGATTTTGAGAAATTTTTGGAGAATCTGTTCCACTAATGAAGAGACTGGTTTTGAGTGAACAAACATATTTAAGAAATTGTCAAAGTTCATGACCAGTAACATTCTCACATCGTTCAGATCTGCACGAATTTTATTTGATAGTCTGTTCGTAGTCATTTTTTTAACCTTTCCCTTACCTTTGGCTATCATAATGTTGCTCACTAATTAACACATCTGCACGCTTTGCAAAGGCCGCAAGTCGTTCGTCCTGTGCTGACAATGTGTTAGTAAATGCTCGATGCTGCTTTTGAAAGGCTTCCACTTCATCAAGCGAATTCTGGAATTAATTTTTATTGATAGTCAACTTTGACCTGTATCTGCACATCAATTAAAATTTTCGATGACAGAAGTTTAAAAATAGGATAGGCAATAGGTAGTCAATATCTAGATGAATGTAGAAGAGAAATGGAAGACAATAGAACCCCTTAAATATTTTCTTTAGATTTAAATTTCACAATAAGTTTATTAATGGGGATATCGAAGTATACTTACGCCAAGATCAGAAAACTCCAAAAAGGCCATATGAGCTGAGGTAACCGCATCAATATTGTCGGCTTCTTTATTGAATTCTTGCAATCGGAGGCATTGCTGCAGCCAATGTTCCTTTTCTTTCCATCCTCGCGCTATTGCAGCTTGTTCGGCTTCGAGACGATCAATCAAATTTCGAACTTCGTGAAGTTCTGGATTTGTCTTTAGAAGTTTCCGCCCCAAATCAATAAGTTGTTTGAATCTGTGAAAATGAATTATTGTTATGAATCGGATAAAATTTATGAATAATTTTTAGTGCGAACTGAGGTTTAAACTTACTCGTCGTCTTTAGTTTCGACTTCATCTTTCAAGTCCTGGTGATCTTTAATCAATGCGTGAGCGGTCTGCACGTCTTTGACCAAATTATCAGCATTCAGTTTTTCTTTAGCTTCGGCCACCCATTTCAGAAGCTCCTTAGCTCCATTTGTAAATATTTGCTGACCCACGGCATCTTCCAAGCGAGCTCTTCGCTCTATAGCCTTCTCCTTGACTTTAGCCCATAGTTCGTCGATTTCACTTTGTTTTTGGGACACATTGTGCCTCTCTGACGGATACTGGCCTTGAACATCATTCGCCAACAGCATAACTTTGTTAACCTTCTCCTCAACTGGAGCCAGCTCCCTTTCCAGGTTGTCGTGTCTTCTTTGCAATGCTTGTACAGTTTTCAAATCGTGCCCTAACACAGCACCTTCTAGCTGCATCATTTTTTCGAGCATCCAGTCTCTAGCTTCTTCGCAGAGCTTATTGTAGAGCTCAACACTACTGGCACCTTCAAGGCTCTTTTCTTTGGTCGCTTTTAGTCTGTTTAGTTTCTGCCATGCTACTTGGACTTGGCGGAATCTAGCGCGAACGCTGTTGATTTGAGAGTGGTTTTGTTTCTCAAATTCTTTTACTTCTCTTTCAAGGTCGTCCATTCGTCTTGTGCTAGCTGATAGGTCCGTTACAAATTTCTGCAAGAAAATGACAGTTAACACTGCTTTGAACAGTAAGATAAAAAGCTTATTAGGATGTCAATAATGGCTAAAGTCGGTGATACTTACCTCGTATTTCCTCTTAGCTTGCAAAACACTATCGTTGGGATCTTCAACAGCCAGCAACTTCTCCTTATCCTTGATCCATCTTTCGAAATCATCGCATTCCCGATAGAAGCTAAACAATCGTATAGAATCCTCCAATAAAGCTCGTCTTAAAACTGCCATTTCTTTGAGCCTGGCATAGGTATCATTGAGTTGCTTCTGTCTTTTTGGTACGCTGTTGTTATCATCCATCTTCCTTTTAGCGGGTCGAGGCCGACGAACTTTGACTGGAACTTTGGTTTTCACCATTTGCGTTTTCTTCACTTTTTGGATGGATTTGACTGTTTCAGGCTTGCGTACAGTTACTTGAATTATTCTCGGCTCAATTTCAATCAAGTAGTTGGCCGGAGCAAAGCCATCGGTTCCATCCGCTTTCCTCACGCACCACCAATCTGGGTTGCTCTTGTTTAACAGGAACATAACTTCGCCTTTAACCATGGTAAGGCCGTGATCCTTAAATTGGTATAAGGCTCGGACCTGAGGCACTTTTCTTTCCTCAACTATGTTTCGGTATTCAATTTTTTCCACTGGTTCGTCTACCAATACTTCAGTAGCGATCATTCTGCAGAATAAATAATTCGTTGATTAATAAGTTGTCTGTAAGATAAAAAGCGAGAGAAAAATACCTGGTTTCGTATTGGATGTCTTCCATACTATCCGCCACATCCACTTCAGCATTTAAGTCCAGATTTGAAATACCCACTTCAATAAGTCGGCTGGCCTGCAAGTTCAGACTCTGAATATCGCCTTGATATGCGTTGAGTTCGCCTTCCAGATCTTTGTGTCTTTGCAATAAAGCAGTAGCGCTGGGCTCGTCAGATCCGAGATCTTTTGAAGTTAGGATTGATTCCTTTTCCAAAAACCAAGACTCGGCCTCATTGGCATCAGCATAAAATTGATACGCTTCTGCAGCATCCTGGAGCTGTTTCGTCCTTTCTAGGGCTAGTTTTTCGACGAGTTCCCACGCTTTTTTGTTCCTGTCCATGTGTTGATCAATTTCTACAGCTCTAGAAAGTTTATGAACATTTTAAATGTTTGAAAGCGTTTTCACGAGAAAGTTAAGTTTGAACGGCGTAAAAAGCTACTGCAGATGTCAGTGGGGAAACCTGAAAATTGAGTTACCTTGGATGATTTTCATTGATCAGCTGCTTTCCTGTAGCTCCGAGTTGATCGAACTTATTTCGTCTCCGCTTTATTTCATCCACCAGCACTTTGTGCTTCTGTTGCAACGATAACACCCCTCTAAGGTCTTTGGCGGTGATTCCAGCTTGGCAAATTCTCTGCTTCTCAATGAGCCAAGCTTCTTCATCTTCTTGGTCTTGAATGAACTGGTAGAAATTTCGCGCTTCTTCCAGAATGGCTTTCCTTTGGGCACTTACGCTCTAAATTGATTGAAAATTGAATAGAAACTACCATACACTAGAAAAATTTAATCGACGTTACCTTAAGCTCTTGATAGGCTATTGAAAGATCTGCCAATTTTTTCTTCACAATATCCGCTTCCTTGGGGTTTTGGGCAGCGATTTGCTCTCCGGTTCGAATTAATTTTCGCTCACTTTCACCTAGGCTGGAAACTTGAAGTTCTTGAAGTGAGTGTCGCTGTAATAAATCTTCTACTGCCATTAGATGAATTCCAATATCTGTCGATGATAGGTCCGCTTTCAACTGATCAATGCTAGCTAGAGTGGTGTCAATTTCCCGAAGGATGGCCATAACCGCTCCCATTCTGTTTAGATTAGCTTTGTGTTTTTCTAGAAGCGCAATGAGATCTTTCCATTGTTGCAGTATTTCAGCTTCTCTAGCTATGACTTTGTCGGAATTTCGGTAATTTTCTCGAGTCAGTTCGTTACACATTTGGGTCAAGTCATGCACACGCTCTTCTCTAGCCAAAATATCCGCGCTTATTGCTTCGTGCTTCTTTACAGTGGCTTCTACTTGGGCCAAGTTGGAGCCATATCGAGGGTCTGATAGCACTTGAATCATCTCTTTCAAATACCCTTCTCTCAGAATGCTCTTTTTCTCGAATTTATAGTTGAGCTGTTCCAAGCGCTGTTGTCGAAGCAGTTCATTTCTTAATGCCACCTCTCTTTTGTGTTCGGATTTCTCCAACACGTCCCATGCTCGCTCGATGTCTTGCACCAATTTTCCATCCGCTGGGTTGAACATGGGCTGCCGTAACTCTTTCAGCTGTGTGTTAATGTTAAAGTAAAGAGCCTCAATTTCGCTTCTTTCCTTGTACTTTGGTGGTTTTTCATGGGTTCTGTACTGGCCGAATGCCAATAGAAGACTTTGGATTCCCTCTAGACTATTGGGAAACTTTCGGTCTTCTAATTCAACAATTTTCAAATTTATCCAGTCCAACAGGTCTGTGGTTAAATGGTCGTAGTTGCCTTTCATTTTATCAGCATCTACCATTTGGCTTACAATCTATGAAAAAAAAAAACATTTTTTTAAGTTTCTCGTCACTGTGAGCTCTAGAATGTTGTTGGAGGCCATTTGTTCTTTTGCAGATTTCAGAGGTTAAAAATTAATAACTAAGATTTTGCTTGATAACTTTAAATATGTTTACCTTTGCAATTCGTCTGCCACTCTTCTCTTCATTCTTCATGCGTGCAAATGTATGATAATATGAAGCAACATAGGTCATAATACTTTTCTCGTCTGGTCTGGATGTATCAATGTCTTCAGCATCCAACAAGCTGGGTATTTCCAGTTCATTATTGGCTACGTCGAAGGCATGGTTCAGGTTGTCGATGTTTTTATTTCCAACCAAACTATTATAATCGAAAAGATCGGGTCTGTGGGCATGGATGAGGGCGTTGAAGCCCAACCCTGTCCTCCAAGAGCCGGAGAAATCTTTGATTTCGACGCCGTTGTAACCATGAGTCTTTCGCTGCGCCCAAAGAAGGAGAGCATCTTTCGCAGACTTTCTCTCGGAACTCTCATTTTCTTCATCCTACGACACAGATAACATTTCATAAAAAAAATAAAATAACAGCTTCGTGCTTAAAAAGTCACACACATAAAAATCGTTTGTATATAACAGCGTTTTACTAACGGTGTTGCGTATAGAGGAAATAGACGCTTGAAACTTTCTAATTGAAGGAATTGCAATATGTATGTGTAAGAATATAATTTTTATGATCTCCTGTACCTTTCAACATAAAATTTTACGTAAAAACGAAAGTGTGCGTTCAATGTATTGATATTTGGCATGATGGGATTAGAAACTAAATAATTGTCGAATACAACGATGTAATCGCGTCCTGAAATTGAGGAAAATAGTATTGGAATTGACGACTTTCGACGAACAAAATATTTACAAAACTGCCATGTAAGTTTAGTTACTGTGCTGTCGAGTTTCTGCCGAAGAAATCGGGTTGCATTTCTAAAGTACAACAAAAAAAACAAAGATACGGAAATCATTATTTGTCAAAAGTTTTCATTATTTCAAAAAATAAACCAGATAACGATAAACGTTTGAAAGAAGATAAATATTAAACATACAAAAATTTTACGTTTTTTTATTGGACGTATATTTTTTATTTATATTATTTTGTTTTACTGATAATTTGATCTATTTCGTTCAGTAGGACATGCTTGTTCACTTGCTGTTTAAACATATAAGTAATTTAAGTTGCGGAAACAAGTTGTGCTAATTTGATTTGATTTGATTTGAAATATTAAATCTGTTTTACAACGATATAGGAAATTACATACCAACTGAATTTCAATTTCTTGTATTTGAAATCTCAGAATAATGGTCCATATTAAGCCCAAAATAAGTCTGGGGTTTCCATCTACAATATCTTCAGCTCCTATACTTTCTAATCGGACTTTTGTGTGCAAGAAGGCTAAACTTTTGTTCACATTTTCAATTTTGTGTACTCGCATCCGGCCATTGTTGGGTTTCGCTAGTTTTTCACCCGATATGATTTCTAAGAGTTTCAGCAGTTTCCTTCCATCGGCTAGATCGACGAACAAGTCGTCTACTTCCATGCGAACCTAAAACGAAGAAAACAAATTAGACCAGACATTAACTACTAATTGTTGCGTTTAATGAGAAATGAGAAAACTTGAATTTTTCTAAGTAAGTTGTTTTGCTATTTAAATATCGAAACCAATTATTTAAAGAATGCTATGTTTGCCAATCTAAAATATCAGTAAAGCCATTAATCCGCTAAAAAGATAATTTAACGCGTAAGCGTTATGGATTGCAATAATTTTAAACATTTTAACAAAAATGTTAGTTTTGTTAATTAAATGTAGAAAAGTTGCTGGTGACATCTGTGCTAACCGCAGCTTTAAATAAAGGGTCTCAGGACCCTTCCTTCATAATTCACATTATTTTCACCATTAATTTACAGGTAGAGCCAAAACGTAAGATGTGTTTACCTTGGTTAAAAATGAGTTCATCCATTTTGTGAATGTTTTCTTCTGGATGTGCAGACGTTCCTCCTGAAGGACTTTGATACGGCCTTGCTCGAATTTTTGAACTTCATCTCGTTGACTCATGTTGGTTCTTTGCTGGAATGTATAGCTCGAACTCGTTTCATACTGCAAGGAACCAGCTGAAATAAAATAAAAATGATTAGATTAGAGATACCAATTTATAAGTTCTAAATACACAGATAAAGGTAGATTACAAGTTCAAATTGTATTACAAAAATAGGGGGCGTCTGATTGGATCTATTAGGTAATTGTAAATAGTTACTAATAGGTATGGCCATTTAATTGATTGTTGCATGTTTTTTATAGCGTTTAATATAAAATTTATTCGAATCCACCCACACTGTGGGTGAAGTGTGGGTTTGCTACTGTAAATAAGAAGAAATTTAGTCAGACATAATGGAAATAACATATGGTGACAAATCTAATTTACGCAACTACTTCTACTGCTTATTTAACATTGAATACATTTGTGGGTTACAACAATATAAATTTATTCAAAGTGTACTAAGTGTGAGATCTTTAAAACCACATCATATGATGAAGAAAATGAAACCTATTTATTCAGTTCAAGTGAGTTCAGAACGATATTTTTTTTAATAAAGTTGCTAACTATTTGAAAACTTTCAGTCTGTAAATCTGCAATATTTTCTCATTGCCGTATTTGTTCTTTGATTAGAACTACTCTGCTAAACGTTTACTACATGCAAAGTTGAAATTCCTCACTGAAGAGTTGAACGTTCGACATTTGGACACGTATTTATAGATTTAAACAGATTTTCTGCCAATCATGCTTAACTATGTATGCTTAGCTAAATTTATTACGAATTTGCAAGTTTCTGGGATGTTTCAATATAAGTTACCACATATAACAGTGCGTATTCAAATATGACGAGAATTAGATAATATTGTAAAACAATGCATATTTAATGCGAAAGGTAAACATAAAACTAAGCGTGCCATATTAAAATTCTGTAGTAGTCGTTTTTCTTTACTTGCCTAACAAGAGTAAACCATGATTTAATATGCAATAATAGAAACAATCTGGTGCTTAATGAAGCCCTAATTTAGCAAAGGAAGCATTGTTAAGCGGATACCACAATAATATCCAGGATATTTCATGACTAGAATAAATAGTAGATTTTATTGACAGTTTTAACGAAAGATATTTAAAATTGTTGAAATGTGAATGGTAAACTGAACATACCGAGAGTTCAAATAAGAGACATAGGGGTAGGTACCACAAGCAAGCATCATCTAGCTCTAATACGATAGAACTTATTGGGTTCTGTTAAAATTGTCGTTAAGGATTCTATTTTGCCATCCACTTTCTCCACTCCTTTTTCTATTGTCTAAAATTTGGTAAAAACGCCGAGAAGAAAGGTTTTTTGGAATAATCGCAAATTTATAGGGTCCACTGAATAGGACGATAGTGTTATTCTCTGAAGAATGATTACTTTGCGGTTAACGCCAGAATATTTCTTTCATTTTCATTCGCATCATTGTCCAAAACCAGAGAAAACTCAGTCATTCAAACAACGCGGGCTCAAATGAAAATTACATAATGTCAGTCAACCGGTTGTAAATTATTAAAAATGAGACAATGCAGAATGCATGCACTTACTATGTAATGGTAAAACTTACAAATGGGAATTTTAAATCCCGCTGGCATTTTGTAGAAGATCAAAAAATATTTTGGGACATATATTTTTCTTCTTTTAGGTACGTTTTTGAGGTAAATGGCAGGTATTACTACTAACGATCAAATTTGGATTTCATTTTTAATTCAATTTTCTCAAAAACAAACTTTGTGGGCTTTTATCTCTACATTGCGCCTCGGGTCTGAATTTTCGAATTTCGAAAAGAAACATCAGTACAATTTTTTCCACGCTGTATATGTATATTTTTTATTCTTCATGCACTCGGTATACCATACCAGCATTGTCTGATAAGATAATACCGTGTGATTTGGGTAACAAGGCACATTTTTTATGGATAATCGATCTATTTATTAATATTTACAGTAGATATCCAATAATATTCGCAAAGCCCGCTCTGACGAACCCATAAATTAGTCACTCTAATATAATTTGAGTAGATATAGAAGCGGATGTCCCACCGTATGATATTCAAACTAGAGCCAATAGAATCAGTTGAATTCTATTTTTTTTTCGCGCAAAAATATCGTTTGCAGATAACAAGACTAAACTAAATAAAATCGTATTTTTATATCTAGCAACGGTTGACTTGCATGCAAAGTATTGCCTTGGTATCGGTCATGCAACAAAAGTCTTGCAAGTCTTGCTTTTATATAAGACGTAAAAGTAGACAACATTTATTTAATAATAACAGTAATAATAATTTACTTAAAGGAATATAATAATCAATACAAAACAATTTTTAAAATCTCAGATCATTTGCTATTTTAATAAGTTTAATTATTGTGCAGTTCAAAATTGTTGACCCGTACTTTTCCTTTGTCTATTACGATCCAGAAGATCTTCATCCAGAGAAATTGGACATATTTTCATGTAGGTAGTGTAATTTACATAATCTAACGAAAGTACTACAACAGTGAAATATCTACAGTAAGTTGTCAATATTTAAATACATAACAAAGAGGGTAGAGATTAAGGAAAATACCATTATGCAATATGTACATTGTCAGAGACGAAAAAGAAGGGCAAATGCAAAATTTACAATTGGCAGAAAGAAAGACTACTGCTTACAACGATTAAGTTTACGAAGACAACCAAGACACATATTAAAGTGTATATGCCCCTGATACCACTAAACCCCAAGAAGAGAGAGATTCGTTCTACGACGAGCTCCAAAACACCCTTGACGGGATACCGAAAGCAGAGGAAGTTATTAATATGGGAGATCTTAATACAAGGGTTGGTAACGAAATTCTGGAAGGCATCAAAAGCCGATTCAATGAAAAACCGAATATTATGTAGTCTTGCTTTTACTGCAAGACCAAGACCAGTCTCGCTCATCACTCTTGAAAAGTAATTTGCTTATCTGGGGAATGCACAAAATTCAGTGACAACGATAACAATCTTCCAGATGAAATATGAGAGATTGATCACTAGTTCATAAATCAATAGACTGATCTTGCCTAAAGCACATACTTGGTACTCGACATGGCATCATTATTCAAAAATGTAAAATAGCCAACCGTGAACATTGGCGCGATCTGGACATGATTCTTTAACCATGAACCCAGATTATATTAAAAGACAAAACAAGCGATTGTTCCAAGCCGAAGTTAGACAAGGTCAATGGCAAATCGGTTTCACCGATCGATTTCACATCAAACTTTTAAATCGTTAGTGAATGGAATTTATTTCACCAACTCGCTGGGTTAGAAGTACATATTTTAAACTGGTCCAGATGTGCAGATGCCATATGCAAAAAACTATCATATTCGTCCATTCTATTTCATCAAGTCGCCCAATTCCTGGAAAAGCTTGCAATCACAATCAATAAATTGTTTACGTATGGAATTTAATTGAACTGAGAAAATATTTGTATGCATTTACAAAATAAGAGCAAATGACAAAAAATGCAAGCAAAAAACTTGAACGCTCCATCAAAGCAATAGAGCTGAACATTACGATTCCATCGGATCAAATGAAATCTAGTAGTCACTTTGATCCACTTTAGAAAAGAAACAATACTGATATTTTTAAAAACCTGAAACAATGCGTTGGGATATTTCAACACAAATTACTCATCTTGAGTTAGATGAAAACCAATTCGACTAAATTTTCAACTCATTTTTCATCAGAATAAATATTAGTAACGTAACTCAAGTGATACCTTTACAACTTCCTGAATTACTTATATTAAGTTGTTGAAAACGCTGATCTAATTGAATGATACCTAAGGTTAATCAAACCTAGATATAACTAATAAGTTGTGGTTTCGTATAAACGTATTAAATTATATTGGCTTCGTGAGGTTGTGGGTTGCGGTTTACTGCAACACTAGTAACAGAGAGATCATACAAAAATGTGTCTAATCGTTCAGTTGAATTGCCTTTTCTGATGAACCCTAAAATGATCGCAGCGATATTAAAAACGTTTTAAATTCTATAATCCAGACCGATTTATTCCATCTTATCAAAGGATTGATTGGTTAGCTGGCAGATATGCTAATTTATGTTATTTTTCTTTTTAAGAGACGTGATCTCATATCGAAATTAACATCCTCTTGTGTTTAATCTCAACCAATAAAGGTAAATTTAATCGAACAATCCGATTACTCTGTATGCGAGTAGGCTTTTCCGAAAATTCATGTCATTCCCATTTATCTTCAAGTAGACATGTTGTGCAAGAGTCAACACAATAGTGATGAAATTTCCATAGAAAGACATTGATATCTTAGATTTGACTTTAGAGATATCTGGAGTGTTTGTCTTCTTTCAACCTTCAAGTGTATTTTCCATATAGATTTTTTTTAAAATCTCGAAACACTTGATCTGTTTAATAATAATTCGACTATAAATAAAAAGCACTGCTTGCTATCCGGTATATATTATTTTTCGACAATAATCAACTTCAAAACGGACACCGAAAAATATACTTGATAAGAATCAATCACTAGATCATCATTTATTTTAATTCGTTGATTTTAAGTCAGTGTATGACTGATTTAATGAAATACAATAATAATTAAAATTGGCTCTTTCTCAGCTCAATTGCTTTAGGAATTTATATGTTTCCATTCTTTTAGAAAAAAAACCTGAATAATAAAAATACTTAGTATATGGTAATGTAATTGGCATTATACAGCTTATTTCCATGTAGATGAGAATAAATAATTTTAACGCTATTATTATTTTTAATATGCAACTGAAGACGTTTTAGCGATTTATCAATTTGGATTACATAGTATGGATTATCATGGATAACTTATTTTCAAACTATGTGTCGCATACAAGCTGTTTTTTATTCAAGAAACTATCATTTTCCATTTATATTAGTTTAATGTTCTATTTGTTGCTCATTTTTCAATTTAAAATGTCCGTAAATAAATATTTCAAGTTGCAAAAGATCATATTTAATTTAGTTTGAAAAGTACTAATCGAGAAAAATTCAAAAGCATTTAAAAGATG